AGGATTTTCCAAAAATTCAGTATGGAATACACCGGCCTCCAAAATCCTTCATGCGCTCGTCAGAGTCAAAGGGTTGGCGCATTCCATTGATTCTTATCTACCTAACTACCCACATAATCCCTGCTCTCAGTGCTTCTACCTATGCACTGTTTGGCCTTCGCCGCACTCGTTGATTTTGACCTTTGGGGAATTGCACATTGTGATTGTGTGTAAGTGAATAGATGGATTTTGTGGGGACATGGATCACACTTTCGAGGTTATTGTCATAAATTGTGTATCAATCTGATAAAAGGACACTCAGTCACGGAATTAAATGTAGAGAACGAGGACGTGGAGGCACGTGTTTATACAGATGGGGTGAATATCACTGGGGCGCAATTGATACAAAGAGAAGGTAAGTGAATATAATACGTGGCGGGTCTCCACAACTCCATCAGGTCACGGCATGATGGTCATCTCCCTCCAACAAACACATTCGTCCAATATCACGCACCTGTTCACCGGCAGATGTTTTCAATTTCACTATTCTTACTAGTCCATCTGAGTCCGTGTGGCTTTCCATGACTACACCCAGTCGCCAGTTGTCGCGTTGTAGCTTTTCGTCGACCAAAAGAACAACGTTCTCAACCTTCAGTGACCGTCCTCTATGCAACCACTTCTGTCGAGCTTGAAGGGTTTGCAGGTACTCTCTTGTCCAACGCCTCCAAAACACCCGTGCCAGGTAGTTCGCATGCTTCCAACCCGAGGTATAGCAGCCACTGATAGTTTTCGGCATATGTAGACCTTCAATGAACCTCAATAGAAGAAGATCACTCGGAGTTAGTGCCAGTCCTTGCAGGTCGTTGCTGGTGATGGATAAAAGGGTTCCATTGTTGAGTATCCTTTTCGCCTCTACCAGAAATGTGCTCAAAGTTTCATCATTCGGCGCCTATTGTTCACATAACGCCGTCAATATTTTTCGCACCGACCGTATAAGCCGTTCTCAAACTCCTCCGTGGTGACTGCTGTAAGGTGGGTTGAGGTGCCATTGGGTTCCAGATGGCGACAGCCGATCTTGCAGGGCGCGTTTGTCTAACCGCATCAACCAGTCGCTCAGCTCATTTTGTGCACCGAAGAAATTAGACCCGTTGTCGGCGAACGCATTTGATGGATTAGCTAGTCTATCCACAAATCCTGCCAGGCCAAAAGTGAGGAGTCGATCGACATTCTGTGCACGGTCTCGATATGGGTGGGTGATTTTCACCGGCATGAACTTCCTGCGTGTGAATATGTACGATAAGTGTGTGAGTGATGTGCTAGTTGTTGGGCAAGATGATGGGATGTTTAGCGTCAAAGTCCAACTCAGAGTTTGTTAATCTTCCGCCTACTCTCAGCAACCCACCTACCAATATTGGACATAGTCTTCAGAGAACACTGCAACGTGATGCACATCGGTCGGAATCACGATTCCCC